GCTATTTACCATCTGCTACTCACTTTCCGCTATTTACCATCTGTTATCCGCTAACCGCTACCCGCTATCGTTACCCGCTATCGTTACTCGCTATTCGCTATTCGTTGAATTTTAACTACTGTACCAAACATGCCCTTAATCCTAGGGCAAATTAGTTTTGTTAATTTTCAAAAGAAAATCTTAACCAACATTTTTGGAGGTCCAATAGAAAGTTTTACATAATTTTCTTTTAATTTTCATTACCTTAAAATTATTTTTATTAAATTTTAGATTCATTACACATGTTAACTCTCCTTTTTTTAAAAAAAATTTTGGAATTCTTTTTACTTCACAAATAAAGGTTTATATATATGTTACAAACTAAATCTATAGTTTGAGAAGGATTTTCATTATATATTTTTTTTATGTATTTTATGAAACAGTAATTTGGATGATAAATAATTTGTAATTAAAAAAAAATTGAGTTATGAAATTTATTATATTGTTAAACTATTAAATTTGTCAAAAGTTTTTAAGATTGAAGGGTTCTGCACTAAGTAAAAGGCAGGGAAAAATAGAAACATGATTGTTGGAGTTTCAAAAATATATATATATACAAAATTTAATGATGTTCAAGAAAATAAAATATGTGTTTGGTATTGAAAAAAATAGTTTAGAGGTTTTGCTTCTATTTAAGGCTTTTGGTGGCTTTCTAAAATTTTAATTAGCTTTTTTATTATGAAATTTTAATGAAAATGGGCAAAGATAGAATTAGATTTAGTAGTTTTAAAAAAGTTTTGACTCCATTTTTAGTTTAAAGAAAAGGTTTGGACAATGTCTAATATTTATAATAAAGGTTGAGGATTAAATCTTATATTTACCCTAATTATCAATAACTAATATAACAATTAATATTTATTAGTTCATAAATTAAAATTATTTAATAAATTAATACTTTCACACTGTTTAAAAAAATAATTAAAATGTTAGTGACTTAGTATTTTTTATAATGGTTTGTCTATTCTGTAGTTTAAAGGTACATGATAAGGAACAATAATTAAGTAATAATTGTAGTATTTTTTCTTAAAAAATGTGAAATTTTAAATTAAAAAGATAATTTTTGTTTTTTAAATTTAAAATAAACCAATAAAAATTTAACACATGGTATCTACAATTAAAATAAAAGTCAAATTCATCACTTTTAAGATAAAAAATAATAATTATTAATCAATAATTACTTCTTATCATGTGTTTGGATAAATCCTTTTTATAATGATAATAAACACACTGACATGCATGCTTTAAAACTAAAAAGAAATGATGAAAAAAAAAACTTTAAAGAAATAATATTACATTACCTTAAAATAAATGCAAAAACATGAACAAATTGCAAGGACATATCTAGAATATATCAATGTTTTTAAAAACCAAAGTGAATGGTTTGACTGCTAGCCGGTCCTGATAATGTTGTGACAACATATTAACCAGTATTAGTAAAAAAACTGGTCAAACATGGTCAAACGAGGTCAACAACTAGTCAACGTCGGAAAAACTGGTACAAACAAATTAGTTCACTTTTTTTTTCTGATATTTTATATTCTTTGATTTTTTTTTTTACATTTTTCTACATTTTTTTATACTTTACTATTCTAGATAATATAATACTTAAATTGTGAAAGCAATTTAAAATTATTAGTATTAATGAATAAAAAATTTTAAATCAATTTAAATGGAATTTGAATTAGTTTAAAAAATGAAATTAATTTGATAATTTACTATTTCAAGTTAGAGAATGAAATTAATTTGAAATCAAATCAAAATAATTAATTTTAGGAATAAAATCAATCTATATATATTATATAAAATGCTATGTCATGCATTAATTAGGGTATGTATTTAACAATTTAATATTTTGATTGGGAGGACTCGGCAAAAAATGAAAAGCATGATAGTACACTCTATATTAATGCATGAGTGAGGTAATTAAGGTATGTGCAAATTTTAGATGAATTAAAGTGAAGATAGATGCAAGAGAGCATGGAAAGTGAAAAGTCTTAAATATACAAAAGTTAAAATTCATTTAAGTAATGAAAAATATGACCCTCAATCGAAATTATTATATCATATGCCCAATCGAAATTAAGATTCATTTAAGTTCCAAATAAATAATAAATGTTTTTTAGCATGCATTTAATAACTGCTATACATTGTAATCCTTTATTTTTATCTTTAAAAAATTTGGTATTTATTCATCTTCCTCTTCCTTTGGTATAATGCATTATAAATGCAATCGAAAATAATAATGATAAAATTATTGAGAGAACAATGATAAGTAGGGAAGAAAAGAAGATGAAAAGATAAAGGGCAATGATTGGTCTACATTTTGATTTAATGCATTTACCAATACCCATTGATTCAACTATTAAATTTTATAATTGAAAATTTTCTCACATTAAATTTAAATTTTAAAATAATAATTATTTAATAAATATATTGTAAAATATATTAAATCAAAAAGTGGACCAATAATTGTCTAAAGATAAAGTATTAAACACATTTGTTACATTTTAATGTAAAAGTAATATTTTTTATTTAAAAAAAAAAACTCTTCCATAATGAAACAAAAATGACAAATTTTAGTGCCTTTTTAATGCCTGGGGTAGCATTTTATTTAATAAACTAGTTTTTTTAACCCGTGCGTTGCACGGGATTATTTTTATGTCATTATATTAATTATTTAATTTTATAATAATTTTTTAATAAAAAATTTTAATTAATTAAAATATTAAGAAATATTAATAAAAATAAGTATTTTTTATTTTAAATTTGTCTTAAATTAATGAGAAAT